TTGAAAGACAAAATGAAGAAAAAGATGTTTCCAGAGTTGTTATGACTACATAGAGCAAGGACAGAGCCCTTCACCTAACCGCACCCACTCCTCTGCTTAACTAAAGCTGAAATCCTAGCTGTTCCTGAAGATTGGTCCCCATGGGTATATCTGTGATTTTAAAAAGAGTCTCCAGGGCTGTGAAATAGAGGGGGAGACCAGAACCGGCAAACAGGCAGCAAAAATGTTGTAAGAAAGGTTATCTTGATCAGTGGAAAAACACATTACTAAGGAGAGGTAATTGCTAACACACATGAAGTGATGAACTATGAGCTATTCAGTCATTTGATTCCCTCAGCTGCCTGAATAGTAGTGCCACAGCTGCTGCACTGTGCAGCAGGAATCAAAGCAGAGTACTTCTATACCTGGCAGAAAATCAATTCCCCTGCTTAATACATGCACCCCAATTTGGGGGGGAAAACTTTGTGTTTGTGAGAAAAGGCAATATTCATATACATCAGTTGATTTGTAAACAGGTCAGTTATTTAAGATACGAAATGAAATGAGCCATCGTGTGTTGATTTTAATACCAAGTTGGCTTGTGAGAAAATATGTATGGAAGTGATGGCTCATGGCCAAGTTATTTGGCACTGAAATATTCATGACACTATGTTACTGGGTGATAATGTGCTGCTATTGTCATTGTTGTGTTAATAAATAAATTGATAATTAGGGTACTTAGCATGTTTTATCTAAAGTTGCTCCGTCAAAGTTGTATCTAAATGCTTCCAAAGGTAGGCTCTAACATTTTGCATACTTAATGTACTTTATAAGGATGACAAACAAGTTCTATATTAATTAATTCTGCCTCTCATTTGCACATTACCAGGCTGTTTATGTACCTGTCTAACTTTAGGCATTCAGGTAGTCTTGCTGAAAGGCTACTGACCTAACCAAAATACCCATTAAATTAATGGGACAAGTCTTTTAAAAGTAATGGGCTGTGTTCTCAAAGGGTGTAAAATGGCAGCGCTCCATTGACTTCAACAGGAGCTGCTTCACTGAGTTTAATGCAAGCTGCATTGATTTGTACCAGCTGAGAATCTGGCCATATTATTTTTCAAGCAGCAACAGCCATTATAAGGAAAAGTTAAAATACTGTGCGAGGTTTAATTTTGAGAAATACATTTGAAGCTCAAAACCATCTTTTCTGTGCATATTCCATGCTCCCATTCTGGGATGTGTTTGTCTGTGATCAGATATTCTCCTTAATTTACATTTAATTTATTTTTCATCACTTCAGTAGTAGTAGTAGTAGTAGTGTTAGTATTATTAGTAGTATTATTTTGCCCCTGTGCAGTTTTTCCCAATTAAAGGGAAGAGTGTTAAACTATCTGTCTTCCACAAAGCTAAGTGTTTTAGCCAAACCCGGCTAAAACAGGGTCCCTCCCATTTCCCCCCAACTGCTGCCCCTTACAAGTGTCCAAAGAAAGTGAGCACAAAAAACTGAACTGCCCAAAGAAAAACAAATATAGCACCAGGAAACTAGGGCTCCATGGTGCTAGACACTCTACAAAAGCATAGTAAAATGCAAGCCCCTTTCCAGAAGATTTACAAACTAAGTAATTCTTTCAGAAGTCATTGAAAAATGCAAATGAAGATAATAGCAAAGGTGTCCCCACCCCCACTCCCCTCTGCATTATTCACTGAATCCTAATATCATTGAGCTTTCTCCATTCACACTAACTGAACCATGAAGAAAATGCTGCTGCTACTACATCGGCATTTGAGAACAGAAGAAAAGCCAGCCAGGAGGGTGCGGGGAAGGCGGGAGTCAAACTTGTGAAAGTGTAGTGCTGTTGTTTATGGTGTCAAGAAGCGTTTGGCTTGAAGGTAAAAAGCACTATTACCCCCCCCCC